GTCTTCTGCCTTGCTTTGCTTTGTAGCATCTCATTGTGTGTGTTTTATTTTTCATCCCTCTTTGAAGGAAATTTTGGTAATTATCTGTTTTTGCTATGGATATAAGGTATTCTTATTGAGAAACAAACTCCAGAATACATCTTCGGTGACCTTCCTGTCATCTTTCTCAGTGAGGTGCTGAAGGGATAATCACATAGTCTGTAATTAAGGAATACTTACTGACTACCTTTTGTGTGTCATATTCTATGTATTGTTCTCTCTTTTCTGAAATCTTATGGACCATTGAGAAATCAGTTAAAAGCATGGATTTATACAGGAAACAAATAAAAGATGTTCTGGGTGCTTATAACAGGGAGATTCCCCCTAGTGTGGGCTTGGGAAGAATCTCCCAGCCATGAGGTTGTTCTTACTGAGATTGGAAAGATAAGAGGATGTTTTGCAGGGAAAGGGACAAGGAACGGAGTGTTGTAGGCAGTAATAAGACCCTGAAATAGTCATGGAGAATTGAAAGGAGTCTGAATCTTAGAGATCTAAGGGGGAAATAGTAGGAGGCTGGAAATGAAGAATGGAAGCTGTGTTGTAAAAGGCCCTTATGCATCATCTGAAGAGTATGGGCCTAGTCCACTAAAACGTTTGAAGGTGGTGAGAGACATGATCAAATATAACTTATAACTGTTTCCTCTTCTGTTAAACTTCACATTGTAAAGGGCAGTCATCTGAAGTGCAAAAATGTTTGTGCTTTTATTCATGCAGAAGCTACCCATTCCAAATATTCCCAGCACCCAGAAGATCTTTTCATTCTCAATCAGAATCTACCCTTTTGAAGGGAAGCCACTATTCTAACTGATCTCATCCTGTGTGTGTGTGTGTGTGTGTGAGAGAGAGAGAGAGAGAGAGAGAGAGAGAGAAAACTTTTGCTTCTCCATTTCTGAGTATAGTTTTTTATATAGTATATTATACTATTTATTATATAGTATATTATTGAATATAGTTTATATATAACCAATAGTGTGTGAGCTTTATGGGCCCAGTGTTAATGGTATGAAGGAATGGTCAATGACCTTATTTTTAAAAAAGTAGAGTCTAGTGGATGAGACAACCAAGTGAACCAGTGGTTACCAGGGACCATCTAGGGGCCTACATGCTGTAGAAAATGTATCTACAAATACATTTTCAGCAGATGTAAAGGTCTATGACAAATGCTTTTGTGCTTTCAAGGGTTTTTTTTTTTTTTTTTTAGCTCCGGTATTAGAATAAGATGGCATACTATAGTCATTTCCTGAATGTTTATGCTAACATTAATATATGAAGTTTTCAAGTTAGTTTTCTTTATCTTATCATTTTCCATTTGAGCATGGAGCCAGGTTTCTTTAATAGTAATATTAGTATCATTTTACAGAGCCCAGTTTTGGCAAACAGTGGTTCAGGTCTCAAAAAATACCCAATGATACCACTCAGAAGGTTTACTTGTGTTTCTGTACGATGATGAGAATCAACTCTAGGACCACCCTCATGCTAGATAAGCCCTCTACTTAAATTATTTTTCACTGCAGAACCAAATTGTTGGTTCTTATATACCGACTTGTACTTTGAAGTACTCTTGTATCCCTGTAATAAACTTTGGTTGCTTATTTTTCATACCAGTTTCTCATTGCATTAGCTGTCTTGGGACCCCCCCCCTCCCTTTTGGTCATGCTCATACTTCCTTATTTGCTAATAAGTTGTAAGAACTGTTCCTAAATACATATAAATGATTTCCATGTGTTTAATGGAAATTATAATGAATAAAATCACTTTTACTTATTATGAAATCTTTATACTCACATTGGCAAACTTCTAAATTAACGATGCACCAGTGAATCAGTGATAAAGCTAAAGAAATCAAATAAATAAAACCAGGATTGACCTTGTTGGAATTTAATATTTCCAGCATTTATCTGTCAAAGCCAGTGATTTGGAAATTGTTATAACTTCTTGAAAAAGGTAGACCTTTCTTCCCATAAAAATCCCCATCATTTTGCAAAGTGCAGTTTCATTTTCCTTGAAGAGAATGTAGTGATTGATTATCCAGAGTGCTGTGGTGACAAGGTAAACCAACCAAACAGCTGGGAGATTGTATGTAATCATATAGCATCACATAGGTGCCGTGTCGAGCACAGCCATTGGAATTAAATTGTGCCTTTCTCCTTAGTCCCTGCTGGTACTTCTTGCTCACCTCCAAAACCTCGACCTCCAGAGACTATTCAGACATCCTTTCTCCTCCAAAGTCTGTCAATTCCATTCTTATTACCCAAAAGCACCCCAGCTGATACAAACCTCTCTCACCAAAAAAGACTGCAAAATGCAGATGCCTATTTTTCTCTCACATCCCTTGCCTATGTGACCTCCAGTGAGTTTATATTTTCTATGCAAGCATTCTATTAGTTCTGAAGATCCTGACATGTGATGAGAGAGTGGAAGGAAGGATGGGAAATGAACAAAAAGAAAGGGCGCATGTCAGTCTCTTCTGAGAAGCTGATAACCTAGTTGGGGTGGCCAGACACACCTGAAAATGCTTGAGAATAGTTAAACACTACTAATTCAGCCAGTGTCAAAGTACCAATGCACAGACTGAATACATGGCTCATGTGGACCAATAAAGGAGCAATCAAATTATTCTTTTTATTAGTGGACTAAATTGAGTCATAATAAAGGAAGGGGCTACCCAAACCACCCCAGAGCTGATTATCAATCGTGTAATTGAGTACAGAACCAGGCCCTCTCTCCTAATGATCAGAGTAATCTCCTCGTGTTCATCTTGCAGTGCTTTAGAATTGAAGCAGGCTTTGTGAGGATTGCTGAGCTCCTTTCTGCTTTATTAATTGCTGTCCACATTTTGTAGCATATCTTGTGTTCTGAATTGGGATGAGGATTTTAGATGCTTCGCATGGGGACATGTAGCTGGGCAGAATCAATTTCTGTCAGTCACACACAAATACAGAGGAATGGGATTATAGATCAGGGTGAAGCTGCAGTGCTTTAATCTCAAAATCAATACAGAAAAGGAAGTTGAACTTGTGAGGATTCTATAGAGACTGTAATTTGGTTTCCTATGAGGTTTGCCTTACAAACTATAATGTTCCTTTATTCTTGTCTTCTGATCATTTCAGTAGGAAGGAGAAGGGAAGGCATAGAAGGCAGAAGTCTCTGCCACCAAATCATCTTAAATAAGCATGCAACTGTACCTCATAATTCAGGCTAATCCTCCATTATCTGCACTTTTATCTGATCTTTTTACTTTCAGGAAAAAAGTATCTAAAACTGTGTCTCTATAGTGTATTTTTAAGCATGATGAATGTCTTTGATTCTTTCCTAGGTCACTGTGAGACTGTAAAAAAATTTAATATTTTGATTTATGGCTAAGTCTCCTGTAGTCTGTAATTTTATTTAAATGAATATCTAACAAACTCTTATTGACTAAAGGGTTACAGGCTACAATTAATGTTTATGTCCATGTAATCTCTTTTTGAAGGGATCATGAAATAAAGCTTTAAACAATTCACTCTTATCTTCTTTTCAGAAGTAGTACTAAGTTGTTGCATAGCACTCTAGCTTTAAGATAGTTGTATTATGTTTCTCTTTGGAAGTCCTTTATTTCAGTTTTAAAGTCATAGTCTACATGTGCCCTTCTTCAGCAATGCTGACAATAATGCCATCATTTGGCTCAGGAGTTGCCCTCAAGAACCCATGTGTTAAAGGCATATTCGCTAAGAGCTTCTGGAAGGCTGTTGAAGCTTTAAGAGTGGGGTAGAGTGGGCCCGGTCTTCAGGCCACTGTAGGACATGTCCTTGAAATCGACACTGGAGTCTAGTCTCTCTTTTCTCAGGCACCAGCCATGCCTTGAGCAGTTTAGTTTCACCATGTGATTCCACCATTGTATGCTACCTCAGCACAGGCCAAAAACCACCCAGTAAGTTATGGATCGAAACATCTAAACTATGTGCCAAAGTAGCCTTTCTCTTGGAAAGTTGGTCATCTCCTTTGATTTGTTATAGTGACATAAATAGAGGAGAAACACAATGATCTTGTAAAAAAAAATGGGCTGTGGACAGTACTCAGGGCCAGTGTTAAAGCAGAGTGGGGCAGTAAAATGAGCAGAGCCTGGAGCCCTTGCTTTTTTGTTTCTTTCTCAGCCTGTTTACTGCTCTTTCCACTGATGGTAATTATAGGGGTGCTGAAAGGGGTTAACTAGGTTAAAGCAAGGGAAGCGCTTAATGCTGTTCCCTGTGCTGACAAGAGCCCATAAACATTCAGGATAACCATGAATCTCACGTGACTTTCAAGTGATACAGCAAATGCTGCAAACAGCCTGCAGGCTGAAAGATATGAGCCAAATGTTACCTGTTGTTCTTACTACAGTGATAGCTTTGAAATCTAAAATAAATCATGGCAGCCTTTTTCTTTTCACTTCCAGTAGTAGGCCTTTACTCTCCAAACAGAACCCTGAAAGTGATAAATAAGGCTTCCATTCTCAATGGATTCCCTTTCTTAAAACCCACAGAGGTTCCAGTAGTGCTGATAGTAACCCCAGCATTTGGGAAATGAAGGTGGAGGATCATGAATTTAAGCCATTCTGGGCTATAGCATGAGTTCAAAGCCTACCTGAGCAAAACCCAGTCTCAAAAACAGCAGAAATGGGGATGTAGCTCAGGGATGGAGTGCAAAGTCCTGGATTCTATCACCAGCACCATTAAAAAACAGATATAGAGACATCTGTAGATGCCATAAAGTTTTGAAAATCCCTATCCTATGCCAGTCCTGGGAAAACAGTCTTTGAAAGACTAGCACTCTGTGAGATATTTATTTGGATGTTAATTTAAGCCCTTATTTTTGGGTGATACACCCTATAGGAAGGTCAAGTGCCTTAAGGTATCACATCCTTTAAGTTGTCTTTGTTTGTCCTGTACATTATTTCTAAACAGAAATCTCATGAGTTTCTATCCTCTTCTATTTCTTTCCAGAGCACAATCATTGTGGAGAAAACAGTGCAAGACCTCATGAACCTGATGCATGACCTGAGTGCATATTCAGATCAGTTCCTCAACATGGTGTGTGTGAAGCTCCAGGAGTACAAAGACACCTGCTCCACAGCCTACAGGTAGAGCACTAGTGAGCATGCTGACTCAGTGTGGAGCCTGGTGGTAGCTCTGCCCGGCAACACTGCCTTCCTTGCCTGCTTCCCTGAGTTTGTCAAAGAGCCTGACAAGAAGGAGCACCATAGAGAGTCACTTAGGTCCTTACACAGTGGCCCTGACAAAGGGAATGAAAGGAACAAAGGGGCAGAGACCCTTAAGATGACAGTAATGGCTTAGCTCAGGTTTCAGCTTTGATTGTCATTGAAATCTAGAATTTGAAGATGTGTCTTCCTCAGACACCTCATTCTCAGAAACTTCAGGTCTTGATTAGTGTACTTGGTGAGTGAAAAGGACTTGCTAATACAGCGATTTAAACTCTTAATATTCTATTAGGTAGAGTATTTCTCATTCTTAGAAACATATTCCTACTGACATTGATGTGAAGCCCTCCTACCGTCAGGAAGGGTAAAATCACACCTGTTTTCAGTATCTGTTGAAGGGGGGAAAACAGTGTTGTGAACTTGAAACCTGTTAGTTAGACCTCACATTTCTTTTTTCTGGTTTCAAGAGAGCATCCCAAGCTCACGGCAAGATCATAGCATTTCATATAGAAAACTAATTATTGAAATGAATTATGGCCTGGTTGGCAAGACTTGAAACAATTACAGAAAAAGAATGAACTATAAAATACTAAATTATATGTAATATATAATTAAGGATAGAGAGGGACAGTATAGTACATAGTCATAATCTGTAAAAACACAAAAAGGTGATTAGACAGGAAAGATTTTGCACATGGTGACATGTGTGCTAGACAGATAAGATTCATGGAAGTGGAGAGAATCCTAAAGGCATTGCAGTAAAGGAGAGGGCACACTAACATAGTGGCCTTGTACTTGCAGGAGACAGTAAGGATTGCCTGGAAGGAAGTAGGAGGTAATGTGACTTAGGAAGAGGGACACTGATCAACAGAGGATCTGAGACACAAGATTTGGACATTTAGATATTGTTAGATTCATTCTACATGAGTCAAGAGGCAAAGTTGAAAGACAGTAATCTGAAAAAGTAATATCATTCACTTGAATGCAAACCTCCTTTATCCCAGCAGGAAGTATTATTTATCCATCGTCTCATAGCTCAATTAAAGTTTGAAAAGCCCTGATCCCATTGAGTTGTGCTCCCAAAAATATTTATTTTTATATTCATCAAAATGTCAATGTATTAGATTAAAATCATATACTAGTAACATTTTTATATTTAGTTACAGATCAAACAATTATCATGATAACTCAAAAATATTAAAATTTATTCTTGTGGTAACAGAAAAGGTAAATTCCTGTTTTAAAACTTGAGTTTATACAAATTTGCTTTGCCAAAAATTACAGCCTAATAAGATTATGTTTCAAGCATATAGGTATACTCCATTACAATGAAACTTAATGAAGAAATAAAATACAAATGGTATTCAAAGAAAAAAGTCCATAAGAAGATTATTTAAGTATATTTATAAATATCCAATGGAAGATTTCAAATACCTGTGAGATTGAGATCCCATTAAGTACATTTTTTCATCATTTTGTTATTATTATTATTAATTACACTTTATTCATTTTGTATCCCCCCATAAGCCCCTTCCTCCTCCCCTCCCGATCCCACCCTTCCCCAAGTCCACTGATAGGGGAGGTCCTCCTCTCCTTCCTTCTGATTTTAGTCTATCAGATCATATCAGGAGTGGCTGCATTGTCTTCTTCTGTGGCCTGGTAAGGCTGTTCCCTCCTCAGGGGGAGGTGATCAAAGAGCAGGCCAATCAGATTATGTCAGAGGCAGTCCCTCTTCCCATTACTATGGAACCCACTTGGACACTGAACTGCCATGGGCTACATCTGTGCAGGGGTTCTAGGTTATCTCCATGAATAGTCTTGAAAAGTAATCATTGAATCTACTTAGGAAACAATGAGATGTTTCAATGTTGAAATACGTAATGATTAAATCAACCTAATTGATATATGTGTAACCTTATATACATTTTTAATGTGTGTGATATGAACATTTAAAATCTGCTAAGCAGTTTTGGGAAAGGAGAGTTAGTTTGGTTTGTTTTTGTTTTTCACAACAGAGTTTCTCTGTGTAGCATTGGCTGTCCTTGAAATCACTCTGTAGACCAGGTTCACCTCAAACTCACCTCTGCCTCTTGAGTGCTGGAATTAAAGACATGAGCCACCACACTCAGCCAGCTTTTAACTATATGTATTTAATGGAGATTATGTCCTTGATCCAACACTCCCTTTTCCCACACCTCACACAACTCAAGTAACCGTTTTCACTCTCTACTTCTCAGGATTTGAAGTATAAATATTCTACATCTAAAAGAGAACAAGTATATTTCTGTTTCTAGCCTTTTGAAACATTTAAACATTGATTTTTTTTACAAATGTATCTATGATATGTCAAAAGGCCTGACTTTTACAAGTATTTAAGTCCATACCAAGAACCACTGTATGTCAGCTTTAATATGTGGAGAGGACATGATAGTTTTACATAATTTTTATACAAATTGCTGAAGTCACTGACCACATATTTGTTTGAAATTGGAATTTATGGCCCATCCCAAAGGTGTTCTATTTTCAGGTTTTACAAAATATATTCCAAAGTGGTTGTACCAATGTGTCACCTACCAAATTAGAATGTTTAAACATTTAAACTTCAATTTAAGCAATGAAAATATTTTAAAATAAGATTTTAATAACAATGTGATTTATTTTATGTGAAACCACCATTAAATTTAAAGTTTTTTTTTTCTGAAATATACCTATATCTGATTATGGGCACAAAGTAATTTCTCTCCAGTAATAATGTTGATGAATATCACTTATAGTTGAAATATAATAAATATCTTATATTAAAGTAATTGGTTCTAAAATCTAAGTTCTACTGATAGGTATGTGGTTGCTTTAATTATTTTGGCAGAAAAGTTTTAAGTCCCTAGAGCTTGCCATGGTATTCATCATTTCCTTTCATTGTGTGAAGTAATAGGAAGCCATTATGTATTAGTCAGGTTTGGGTTAATATAAGGAAATAGTTTGGACAACTAACCTACATAATAAAAAAGTTCATTTTGGTTCACTTCTGGAGGTCAGTCCAAGATCAGGTGCTCCCATTGCTGAGAGCCTCTGACGAAGGATTTTAAAGCAGAAGATGTGCCCAGTGAAGCCAAAAACTTGCATCATGAACCAAGAAACATCATGACCCCAAGCTCCCACAATGCCTTTCGAGAACACAAAGTCCTCTCCTTTTTATTAGATTAAAATCAGGATTATTCCTTATGTATGAAACTCTTATATATTTGTGAAGACAGTTATTGTGGTTCATTGTGGGGGTTATCTGTTTCTTTGTTTGGTTGTTGATTTTAATGTTGTCCCCCCCCCCCCACCGGACTAGACATTTCCAGTTTCTGGCATTGTCATTAGCCTGATACCCACCTTAAAAAGGAATCTTCCCAGCCTGGACTGGTTAATGAGGTGTGCTCTCATGCTAGAACATCACCATCCCATGCCTCCTTCAAAAGCCAAAGCTAGACCCAGTTCCCTCCTCTCTCTCTCTCTCTCTCTCTCTCTCTCTCTCTCTCTCTCTCCCCCCACCCCATGTGTATGTGTAGAAAGAATTAACCAGTCACAGACTGTACCTTATGGAACCTTACAGTCTCGGGAAAGGTGCAATATGTGACAAAGAAACAGAATACATATACCCACAACATCAAGTAAAGCAGAGAAGGGCCAAGCCATACGACTACATTGCTAATGAGGGCAGGATAGGATTGAAGAAGGATGTGAACTGGTTTGATGGGGAATAAGGATGATCAAGACAGAGAAGCTCAGGAAGGGTAGGATGGAACTGTGGGAACATCCAAGAGGTTAGGAGGTGTAAAAAAGGGAAGAACAAGTGAATGACTGAGGGTGAGACTGTGTGTGTGTGTGTGTGTGTGTGTGTGTGTGTGTGTGTGTGTGTGTGTGTGTGTGTGTAGGGGGGACAGTATCTCCCATGCCTGTTTTAAAGTTAGCCAGTAAAGAGCCAGTGACGTTAAGAAGGACACCAAGTACAGAGGGGTGTTCTGTGGAGGCTCTTCTGCTGTTTGTTTAGAAGATTGGAGAGAGAGAAAAGAAAGTGAAGCCAGGAAGTGCTTGTTAAGAATGAGCTGAGGAAAATGGAAAGAAAGAAATTTCAGGACATACTAAGGAGGTAAATTATGTAATGCCAGACCACTGATGACTAGAGAGGGCAGGGAAGGGTTTAGGAGAAACAAGGGTGAGAGTGTCTTTCTCTTTTCAGCTGTGGTAACTTTTAAAACATAGATTCAAGTCAGAGACAGTCCCTGTTCCCATTACTATGGAACCTACTTCGACACTAAGCTGCCATGGGCTGCATCTGTGCAGGGGTTCTAGGTTATCTCCATGAATGGTCCTTGGTTGGAGTATCAGTCTCAGAAAAGACTCCTGTGCCCAGATTTTTTGGTTCTGTTGCTCTCCTTGCAGACCTCCTGTCCTCTCCAGGTCTTACTATCCCCCCCCTTCTTTCATAAGATTCCCTGAATTCTGCCGAAATTTTGGCTATAAGTCTCAGCATCTGCTCTGATACCCTGCAGGTAGAGCCTTTCAGAGGCCCTCTGTGGTAGTCTCTTGTCCTGTTCCCTGTTTTCTCCCTCTTCTGATGTCCATCCTCTTTGCCGTTCTGAATGGGGATTGAGCAACTTAGCCAGAGTCCTCCTTCTTGATTGGTTTCATTAGGTGTACAGATTTTAGTATGTTTATTCTATATTATTATTGGCCTGCTCTTTGATCACCTCTCCCGAGGGGGAAGCAGCCTTACTAGGCAACAGAGGAAGACAATGCAGCCACTCCTGATGAGACCTAATAGACTAGGATTAGAAGGAAGGAGAGGAGGACCTCCCCTATCAGTGGACTTGGGGAGGGACATGGGTGGAGAAGAGGGAAGGAGGGTGGAATTGGGAGGAGAGGAGGGACGGAGC